AAAAAGAAGAACAGGAGTACTTGTGGCACCTTAGAGACTAACAAATTTATTAGAGCATAAGCTTTCGTGGATATATGCATCCGAAGAAGTGGGCTGTAGTCCACGAAAGCTTATGCTCTAATAAATTTGTTAGTCTCTAAGGTACCACAAGTACTCCTGTTGTTCTTTTTGCGGATACAGACTAACACGGCTGTTACTCTGAAACTTGTCCTTACGCTGGTGTACAGATGTGGGCTGGGAAAAATAGACACATGAGAAGCTGAGCATTCACCAAGCATCTCTGAATGACCATTATAACTATTACTTGAATATAGTGGTTGTCACCATTTCAACACCACACTCCAACAGCGGAGGTGGAGAAAAAAAGAACTAGAAAGTATTTCTGTTAGAGGTTTTCAATTTAGATATGAAAGGAACTTTTGTATGCAGCATCACATTCACAACGGTATCCTATTCTTTAACATAATAGTCGCATAATTGTCTTAGTAAAAAATGTGCAAGCAAGACATTAAAAGATACTTAACTAATGTTCAGCATGACAAGTTACTGGTACAGAGTGTAGTTTTCAAATATTTTCTGAACGGCAAAAGCATTGTGGTCAAATACATTTACCGATGCTTTTTCTTTGTTACCCACACAAGCCTACCTCTTCCAAAAGTTTGGTTTTCTGCGAGATTTGCTTGTTTAGTGATGCCACTTTCCTTCGGTGCTGCTGGGTAGCTCCTAGTCTTTCTGGACGCTCCTCAGAAGAAAGCTCAGATTGCTGAAAATAAATAACAAACAACAAAAACAACAGAGGGTTGAATTGCACATAGCCAGTATTTGCTTTACAGGGACACAGGAACAGACACAGTGGATAGGAATTATGGTCTACCTAGTCCAGTATTCTCTAAGAGTAACCAACACCAGCTACCTCATAGGAAAGTGTAAGAACCCCACAGCAAGCAGATGTGGGGTAATTTACTCCCACTATGCTGGCTTCATCATTGCATGTGGCTTCCACTGAGGTCAGCAGGCAACTGTACAGATGAATTGTATAATGGATGCAGGGATGTGCATATATTTTAAGAGTTGGAAGAAAGTGGATTAAGTCTTCTTGAAAAGCCCTTCTAAAACACTACAGTATTCTATAGTAATGAGCTAAAATAATACAGCTTAATACAAGAGAGGTTAACATTTGCACTATACTGTAAAGGGATGAGCTGTTACAGCAGTACAACTGTTCTTAACAGCAGTTCAAGGGTGGTGTGGCGGAAACAAAAGTTGCTAAAAAAGATGCAGGAAAAAAGAAAATGGGAAAAATTTTCAACAGCTCTCACTGAAAAACCACTGTTAGGAATGGGATAGTTTCCCAATGTAGTCTGGCTTTATGAACCCTATTTTGAAGCAGACATGGTCCCAAAGCCTCAGTGTCTGATCTTGAACATGAACAAACTCAAGCTTTAGGGTGTTCTGATTTGGAATATTGGTTCAGGCTTATCACTATACTGAAACCACATCCTCAATCAATCAATTTTCTTCTCAAAGCCTCTCCATTCCTGTGAACTTAGAGCCTTCGTTATTTACTCAATTGAGACTGCATTTCCAATAGTCTTCTATAGAGATAATGACTATAGCAACTTGGATCCAGATTCCTGCTGCTTATAGACTAAGGGATAGATTGACTGAAAAATTCTTTACCAGCAGTATTATTTATAATGGGAGAGTATATCTACAATGGACCAAGAGGAGTTTTTCAAAGGCAAAAAATGGCAATTAGGCATCTCACTGAGTGTTATGTATCTAATGACCATTGGTGCCTTTGAAAATCTCCCCTTATCTATTTGTCATTTCATCATGACAAAGATTTTTAATTGCTTCATCTACTTCAGGCTCCCTTTTCATTCCAATCAACTTTTGACATTTCATCAGCAAAAAAACCCCACTTTCCACTCATTTAGGTGCTAATTTATGAAGTCTGTCAAAGGCATGAGGACTCTATCATAGACCATTTCCAAGAATAACCTTATTTTGGTAGCTACTGAAATATATATAGGTAAAATATTATTGGGAGAACTCCATACTCTTTTGACATCTACTTGCTTCTGAGATCTGCTCTTGACAGATCACATAGACAAGTCTTCGTTAACAGCTTAATTTTAGACAAAGCAGAGATGGAAGTTTCCTTTCCTCCACTCCCCTCCCTTTTTTCTTTTCTAAAGGCCATATTTCTACATAATTTAGACAGAAAAGCCGTTTTGTGACTGGATATATTTATGTCTCTTTTGAAAGAAGAGATTATTAATCTCAGGCATCTCATTCCAACAACTCATACTTAAAGCCATATATTGCACATTTCTTCTATATGAGAAAATGCTGTGAAACAACGAAAGACGAGTACAGTTCAACACAACACTATTTTTTCAGTTAGTTGGGCCAAAAACATTCCCTTGTCAACTGTAAGTGTAATGCATTCCAAAATACCGTTTTAATTTCTATGCAGAATGAAAGACAAATGGACAAGTAATGCATGAGGAAAAGTTACATCAACAAATAGTCAGCTTAAACTTTGGAAGAGTATTATGATCCATGAAATGCAATGAATAGTTCAAGCATCAGGATTAAGACCTCAACTCAGCAAGGCATTTAAGCACATTCATAAGCCCCAATGACTTCTTCTATATCAATATATTGAATGTAATGGGGTCGCTTGACTGAGCTGGAGCCTAAGAGCTGAGGACTGCGATAAGAAGTGCAGATGTCACACAGTTAATGACGAATGAAACAATTTTTTAAAATATCACTATTAAATTGAAATACACACCAGAACCTGCAGAGGAACAACACATCCTAGGCATTTCCCCTAGATACTAAAAATATCAACTATATTTAAAAAACCCCATGATTTTCCTGAGGTAAAGAGTAGATCTATACTGCTAGGGAAAGAATTATTGTCCTAATTTATTTAAACAGAAGGAACTTTGTTCAGATTTCTTTTATGTGACAAAACTCCTACAAGACTAAATATGGAAGGCAAATGTTTTTCTCTCACCCTACTTTCAATGGGCTCTGTGAACTTAAGTTGCAAACTCTCATGGACAATAGGTATGGTAATACCTAATTTTCTGAGCACAAGCCAAAAATCTGCTATCATTTGTAAACCCATAGCCCCCAGAAACTCCAACAGGGATTAGGGTCTCAGGGTACTAGATGCAGTGCAAGCACAGAGTCCATAGAAAGCAGGATGAGAGAACATTTGCCTCCCATATTTACTCTTGTAGGAGTTTTGTCTCATAAAAGAAATCTGAACAAAGTTCCTTCTGCTTAAGGAAATTAGGGCAATAATTCTCAACTATAAATAGGGGGCTCTGAATCTTACATGATAAGCAGCTGAATCAACTGATTGAATACAATATAACTGTATTATAAAAGTGTATCGAGTAAGGTCTTATGAAAGCCTGACAGACACTGGTGATTAATAGCCTTGTGAAATGTATGCATTAACACTATATGAGAAATTATGGATACTCACTGGATTATGCTTTGAAGTCTCTGACTAACCATAGACAAAAACAGAAGCTACCCACCTGTCTCCAATGTAAATTAAAGATTACGAATCAAAATAATGGAAGCCCCATTTGCACACAAGTCAGAAAGGGGATGGGAAGTCCCCTGGAAGGGAAAAACAGGAGGAAGACTTCCTGCCTCTTCTAACAAAGACAATGAACTATAGGGTGACATAAGGGGGAGGAGGGGAGGCGCAAAAAGACATTTGAGTTATCCATCACTTGGGGAATTAAAGGGGCCAGAGCTCTTTAAAAATAATTTTAAAAAATTCACAAATTTGGATCCTTCAACCACGGGGATTGAAGTCTCTGGGAACTCAGTTTAGAGAACCTGCTTAGGCAAAAGACTAACTTGCTGAAAATAAGTTCTAGTCTTGGAAGGATATTTTATTTTGGTTTGCTTATAATCCTTTCTATCTTTTCCCCTTATACTTGGTATCACTTAATCCTATGTCCTTTTGTTAAATAAACTTGTTTTACTTTAATATAAACCATTTCAGGGCTGTGCCTGAAATCAGAGTTATCGTTAACCCCACTTAGACAGTATACTGCAGCTCGTTAATTTATCTAAAGGAAATTTGGGATTGGGAGGTTGTTGGGGTCACTGCAAAAAGTAACTGGGCAGTGGAAGTCAGGGTGTGACCTACAGTAACTCCTCACTGAATGTTGTAGTTATGTTCCTGAAAAATGCGACTTTAAGTGAAACAATGATAAGCGAATCCAATTTCCCCATAAGAATGAATGTAAATGTGGGGGTTAGGTTACAGGGAATTTTTTTTTGGCCATACAGTACAGTACTATAGTTGGGAGGTGCCCCCGCCTTACCCCACACAAGCACAGCCCACTGGCACTGGAGACAATGAGGCAGGCAAGGAGGCTGAAGGTGCTGTATGTTAGGAGAAGTACGTTGTGCAGCAGCAGCAGCTTCCCCTACTATGCAAGCACCAGGAGCAGGGGGCTCAACCCTTGGCCTGCCCTCGCCACCCCTTCCACCAAGCCCATACCCTTAACCCGCCTCTTCCCCCTTTACTCCGCACGCTGCGTCCTCGCTCCTCTCCCTCCTCCTCCCTCCCCTGCCTTCTGCCCACGACAATCAGCTGGCTTGCAGCGTTCAGGAGGCAGGAGCGAGGAAATGGCATGCAGGCTCCCCCTCCCTCCTGAACACTGCAAGCCAGCTGATTGCCACAGGCAGGAGGCGGGGGGCGGGGATGAGGGAGGTGCACCGCGTCCTCGCTCCTCTCCCCTCCCTCCTGCCCACAGCAATCAGCTGGCTTGCCATGTTCAGGGGGCAGGAGGGAGGGGGGAGGAGCGAGGACTCGGGGTGCAGGCTCCTCCCTCCCCTGCCTCCTGCCCGCAGCAATCAGCTGGTTTGCAGCGTTCGGGAGACAGGGGGAGCGAGGACTAGGCATGCAGGCTCCTCTCCCCCGCCCTCCTGAACACTGCAAGCCAGCTGATTGACGTGGGCAAGAGGCGGGGGGAGGAGGAGGAAGGCGCTCATCCATGGGGTCTGCCGGCAGGCGGAAGGCACGGGGGTGGGGAGGGGGCGCAAGGGAGCTGATAGGGGGGCTGCCAGCTGTGGACAAAGCAAGCAGCCAAACGACATTATAGCAAAGCATTGCACAACTTTAAATGGGGCATGCTCTGTAATTGAGCAGGGACATAAGATCGAAACAACGTTAAGCGAGAGGACGTTAAGTGAGGAGTTACTGTACATGCTTGTATGCTGGTTGTTGGTGTCAGGGCTGCATGCCGCAGCAACATAGCATCGAAGGTACCCAGAACTGCAGGGCAGGTGGTAACACAACCTCTTACCTGTCTGGGTTGAACCCAAAGAGTCATAGCGCACCACTACCATCTTCCCAGTCTTGCCACCTTTTCCCCCTGCATAGGATTTCACCAAGTGTCATTGCTGCTTCTCCCACAACTTACTAGAAATCCAACTTTCCTGTCCTGACAGCACTTGCTTGAAGCCCTGGTCATCTGTAATCTTTGTGTCTTAGCTGGACATGCCCTTCTGACAAATGATCAGTAAAATGTTTATTTATAAATAAAAGTTTCATTCTACTCAATGGGGGGGTCTCATACTGAATAGGATTGCATTTTTTCTGTGAAAAATAAAAACAAATTTAGGTAACCATGTCTGTAAAAACTAATTTGAAGCTATAAAGTTTACTGTGGTTTCATCTAACTAGACTAAAATTAGGAAACGAACAGAGAG